TTCTCTGATAATTAGCTATGATGAACATTTTTTTTCATCTGTCTGTCGGACAGACATGTCTTCTTTGGAAAAGTTCTTGTTTAGACCTTCAATTGGGTTATTTGGTTTCTTGTTGTTGAGTTGTATGATTTCTTTGTAGATCTTGGATATTAGCTCCTTGTCTGATGTATGTTGTGCAATTATTTTCTCTCATTCAATGTTGTTTTGTTTTAATGATAGTTTCTTTCTCTGTGCAGAAGATTTTTTTAGCTTGATAATAATTGCATTTGTATATTTTTGCTTTTGTATCTCATGCTGTTGGAATCAAGTTCCGGAGACATCTCTGAAGCCTGGATTGTGGAATGTTTTGCCCATTTTTTTTCTATGTACTTTAAAAATGTTATAAATCTCCTTGTAAGTTAATAACTCTCTACACAAAGTGTAGGGTTTTTTTCCCCATTTTCATTTTCTTTTCAGTTTTCTTACAATTATAAGCCCAGGCGTTCACAAGCTTTTTAGGCACTGACTTAATCATCCATTGTAAGTATCCTTCCAAATTAAGTTGTTCCATCATTTACATGGTCATATCCATTTGAAATGGCATAATTTTGAATGCTTTTAGGTTGGAAGTTACAGTTGGCTCATTCCTTACACTGTTCATGGGAGGCAAGTAGCTACTAATGATTTCCTCTGTGTTTCGTCTTAAAGGCCTAACCAGTTTTCTTTGGCTGAGTTAGGGGAGTTAATTCCAAAGAAAATACGAACCGACTAATGTAGATGAACATGTTTACCTGACCCTTTGCACCAAATATCAGAAATTGTTTTGCAACCCATAAAATGAATTTGTTTGTAGATTATTAAATTAGATATCATTTTTGGCTAGGGGATCATTTCTTGATTGTTCAAAGTCTGTTCCAGACTCAGTAAGCCTTTGGTCTGTTCAGCCACCTCCTATGTAGCAAGTTATGGGTAAATGATAATGAACTGGCAGGGCAAGGGCTTGCTCTTCTTGAGCTCACTTTCTTGGAATACTCTGGACCCCCTTATCAGGAAACTGGTCATCAGTCGTCAAAGTTCTCACTAAGTCTTACATCCCCCAACCATATTAGTCAAAGAACATCTGTGTGAACAATGATTCAAGAGTGTCTTTGACCTTATTGCTTGCAAAAGAACTTTATTAAACTTGACTTCTACCTAACTTCTCATTTCTCACTGTCCTCTAACAGATGTTTTCTGTTCTGTAGAGATATTTTCTTGTCACGCTCCTCTGAGGTAAGCACTGTAGAGTTATCTTCTAAGCTAATGTGGTATTTTACATTGAATGGTAATTATCCATCCAAACCCTACTGTCCAAAACTTCAGTTAAACTTGGTGTTCTTACCTGAGGAAAAGTTTCAGTGTCATATTTTTTTAGTACATTACAAAAATGTTACTTCAAATAGTGATAAGTGTGTGGCCCAGATACTTTTTATTCCTCCAGGCCTAAGGTCAAATCAGGGTCCCTTCACCCTGTTGGCTTTTGTATCTATGAGAACAGAAAATGAGTCAGAAAAACCTACATTAGATAGTCTTTCCTGCAAACTGCTGGCAGCTGGAGCTGAAAATAGGATGTACGAATTCCACAGCATTAGTGGGTGGGAAACAGCTGGGCTGTGATGCCACCTCCATTACTGGCGCGTCCCCAAAGGAAAAAGAAATAACTGCAAGTATTTTTCTTACAAATATTTATTATTTTAAAAAATGACTTCAGATGTTTTCTGTATCAATAAAAATAGCAGTTCATTCAATAATTTTATACCAAATAGGAATTACATGATTAGAGAATGTCCTGAGTAGCTGAACACAAAAAAAGGGGCTCAAAACTACCAGGAAGTGAACAAAGGCATTTGCTTCCAAGAGAATACCAAGCAGAGACTGGGGGTTATCGACAGTGGAAAGGTTTTTTTTTTTTTTAATTTATTTATTTGTATCTATTTTACATCAGTGTTCATTTTTGCACAATGTTTGCTTTCTCCTCTCAGGTGCAGTCCCATAAAATTCCCACCACCAGTTCCCCAGTGAGCCATCGCCATAGTCCCTTGTGCTCTTCTCTCCCCTGTTTTGATCCCTCTCCCTCCCCCTCCTCTGCTGAATGTCTCTGTTCTATAGTTGCCTGTTAATTTTTTTTGTTAATTTATTATGCTCAGTAAAATTTGAGCCAAATGACTAACAATGAGAGGTGGGGTACAATTTATGTGGGGCTTGTGGGGTTTTCAGACTTGAGTCCTAGGCAGGGCCCCTGAATGAGAGATTCATTTGCTGCAAATGAGATTTTTTAAGGAAGGTGTTTTGTTGTTGTTTTCTAATAACTTGTGGGGGTTTGAAAATTGCAGGTTATCTCTCTACCTCCCTGTTTTTTAATTTTCCTTATCTGGGTGTTGTTGAAGTGTTGCAACCTTCAGACAGGGAGCACAGCGTGAAGCATCACCTCACTCGTGCAGGTCACGTGGCTTCCAGGCATGGTTTGACAGCTGTGACAGGGAGGCCAGCAGCCTCTTTCACACTGAGCAGGAAAACACCAAAAATCCTCAAGCAGTGACTCTGAGTGACAATGTCCGCTTTGAAACTTAGAGAAGGAACAGAAAATGGGAGAGAAAGAAAAGAAAGGAGACGGATGAGTGAGTGCAAGGCTGAGAGATCAGAGCCAAGCAGAGGGTGAGGGACTGCCCCAGTGGCTGCTGCTCTTCCTCAGTTACCACGCAGGAGTCCTCACATCTCCAGTCAGGCAGGCACGCTTGCTTGGAGGCCACAGCGTGCACCTCTTTTTTATTATCCTAAACAAGGGACATTATTGGAAGTGTGTCACAGCACCGAAGGAAGACTGATGAGCCAGACTTGAAAGACCAAGGAGCTGGGAGATGTTGTCTTTTCAGCAGCAGCCTCACCTGCATCTGCTGCCTCTGGGTATCACTGTCTGCACCATATTCTTAGTCCAGAGAAAAGCACCCAGTTGGCTAAGTCACACCCACTGCCAGCATGGGGGAGATGGTCCACCGTGGCTTTCACAGTGTACCCTATGAAGTGCAATTTCCTGGCCACCTTGGGCTGGATGGTGGCCACCTCCAAAATAGCACATCCAGCCCCTAGGCTCAGGGTCAGACAACTGTGAAGGGTGCCAGAGGCACTGGCTATGGGTTGGCACTGCGTGACGGCCTTAGGAACAGCTGCTAGAAGGCTGAGAGAATGCACCCTGTTTCTAGCCAACAGAGATTAAAGGAGATTCCAGTTCTCATTCTCTCAACCTCATTCCTCTCTCTGTGAGCCTTTGATATCATCTTGAGGAAGTAAAGAGATGTCAGAGAGGCGTAGACAGAGCTGCTGGGCCTGCTACCTGGAGAATAATGCGGCTCATGGCTGTGAGTGAAGCACAGCCTCTTCCTCTTGGGGAGAGCTGCTATTCCTTCAGGGGGATAAGTTGAGTATTGTTTTTTATGGCATGCAGCCCCCAACACCCTCCCAACCCCCCTGTGAAAGTCATGAACTTTAAAATCATGCTGAAGTTTGAATCTGGATGTAATTTTTCCTTCATTTATTTATTTTCCTGGGATCATAGATACAAGCATGACTCAGGTGAATTTGGAAGATTAAAACTTAAGTCTCATAAATAAAGTGATCAGAAGCTTCCACATGATGTTCACTATGAGCCATGGATTTAAAGGTGGAGAGGTTAAAGGGGGGTGAAGCTCAGAAGGAAGCTTCTCAACTCTTGTTTTTGTTGTTTTTTGAGATATTTACATCCCACAAAATCCACTCATTTAAAATGTGCAATTTACAGTTTTTTAGTTTATCCACAGAATTGTGCAACCAACACTACCTTAAATTGTTGAGTATTTTCATCACCCAAAAGGAAACTCTATACCCATTAGTTGTCACCCCACTTCTCCCATGTGCCCTGTCCCACCCTAAGGCACTGCTAACTTTCTGTCTCTGTAGATTTGTGCACTGTGGGAACTTTGCCCCGTGGACTCATACACCTTGGAGTTGGCACCAGGCCTCTTTCATGTAGCCCACACCGCAGTACGGCACCTTCCATTCTGTTCTCTTGCGTACCCCTGGGCTGGAACTGCGTACCCCTGGGCTGGGTCACGTGGGAGCTCTGTGTCTCAGTTCCCAGGCCTTTGGATGTTCCGCAGAGGCAGTGCCATTTTACTTTCTTCCCTCAGTGTATGAGGGTTTCAGTTTCTCCACATCCTGCCAAGCCTTATCTTTTAAATTATAGTCATCCTTCCTAACAGCCTTTTCATCAGCTCTCACTACCTCCTCCCAAGTCCAGATCCACGTCAGTCCTGACTCATTCGTGAGCTTCTGAAGTCTGGAGTCGTCCCTCTAGCCCCAAATCCTGATAGACAGGAAGTATTTGGTAACTCTTTTTTGATTATCTTTACTCTACCATGTGGAATTTACCCCCACCCCGGGGGAGAATAAATTACAGTGAAACAATTAATACATGCAGCGAAGGCATCCTGTCTCCAAAGTCTGAATTAGTGCTACTTTTGATGAGTATGTCTGTGAACAGCATATGAGGGACAGAATGGAGTAAAGAATGATCTCACCAGAGTTCAGTTCTCCTGGTGAAGATTTATACATGACTTGGAGTTTTCATAAGATTACCTTTGGCTTATTGAAGTTGTAGAGATTATTGTTCAATTATTTTTTTTTACCATAGACTCATGTAAGAGAAAGAGATGTGCCCATGATGTTAACATATGTTCTGCTGAAAGTGTGAAGAACGATGTCTTTGACTTGTTTACATGTTACAGCCAAAGTCATCCTGAGAGTACATGCTTGCAGGATAATCCTGTTTAATGCAGTGAAGAGTCATGAAACTATAGTATCGAATTGTCATTAAATCTTTGGGTTCTGTTCTTGCTTTCTTTCGGAAATTCTCTTTTTTTGGGTAAGCTGAGTAAATGTGCTCAGTGTTATCTTGATTTTAACTATGTGTTTTACAAGTCTAATGTGTTCTTTTTCCATCTCTCTAGAATGTTTCAGACATTTAAAGAATGGTTTTGGTTGGAAAGATTCTGGCTTCCTCCAGCAGTAAAGTGGTCAGATCTTGAAGATCACGATGGACTCGTCTTTGTAAAACCTTCTCATTTATATATGACAATTCCATATGCTTTGGGCTTGCTGATTATCAGACATTTCTTTGAAAAGTAAGTAGTGTTTATGTGTCTTTCCTTCCCGGTCCCCTGATTTGCCCCCACTCTGGAACAATAGAATCTTGGTAAGATCCTTAAAGAATCTGTTGTTTAGAGGTTGCCACTAATGGGCTACAGATTCTTGGGGAGTTCATGTAACAAATGCATACTAAATGTTATCTGGAAGCTAAATGGTAAAAATTGCAAAGACAGATGTACTGAGCACCTTAGTCTCACGCTGAAGAAAGGGGAGTTCCAGGTCATCCAAGGATCACAGAACTTAGGAATGTCGGTGACAACCCGGGAACTCAGCTGATCTTCCAGAACGCAGCTGGCTGACAAAGAGCATGAGCACTTGGAAAGGCAGTGTCTTCTAGAAGAGTCCGTGACTAGGGGCTGCATTGTCATTCTTAAAAGTCTATAAACAATAAAAACAGATCATTAAAGACCCAACAATATTGCTTTATAGGGTAGTTTATTTTAAAGGTTTTTTTGCAAGTTTTAATAGCAGCTCTTCATTCCAAAGTATAAGGAAATCAAAGAATATTAATTTTCTTTCTCAGAAAAAAGTAAACTTTTCTTTTTCTTAATTTAATTTAACTAGATATTACTTCCAACCTTTTTTATTAAAACTGTACTCGTGTTATGATAATGGGAGATAAATGTCCATCTGTAATCTCTGTAGTTGTCGCTATTAATTGTCTCTATTTCAAAAAAATGTTATTAGCACATTAATTTTTTTGGAGCAATGTCAAATTTGAATGTCAAGAGTTGGAAAAAGTTGAGACAAAATCAGATAAAAAATCATTTTGTCTAAGGCTAACTGTAATACAGATCATATGTTTATAACCATTTGCAGCATCTTTATCTCAAGACTTAGTTGACCTACTCTGTTTCACGATCTCTTTATGAGGTTTCTATATAAATAGCAACTTCACTTGGGCCAACAATGTGCCATTGCTGTTGGGAGGATGAAAAAGCACCAGGACACCACTAAGCTCTAGCTGAGAACATTTGGGAGTGTTCTTCCTTTTTGATAGTTAATTCAGCTTTCTCCTCACATGTTTGGATTTGTCAAAGAATACATAAATAACGTTGACATTTGCCACTGTACTTCTGAATTGACAAATTTCTCTTTACCATCCTGAAATAATTTCTGTTCTTGCATAATATCTAGTGGTTTTTGAATTTAGCATTTGTGACCTCTACTTTATTTGCAGTGTTGATTTCCTTGTGCTTGTCCATTCCCCCAAAATGGACACTCCATTTTTACATTTTGATAGGGACTGTGAATTAGAAAATACTTTTGGTTGCCAAAGCAGCACATCTGTGGAGGCCCGACTTGTGACATCTTAGGCTTGACCTCTCCAACAGCTGTCAGGAAGAAATCTGTTCTTCTTAGCTCCTGACACCTTCTTGCTTTTTCTCAAGGGCTTAAGTATAGTCTATGTCATCCTTCTTATCTCCTTATAACTTACCTCTAATTCACCTTAAATTTTTCCATGCTGTGATACTATAGAAAACTATGTGTTGTTCCACTAGTCTCATGTCTTTAAAAATATTAACAGAAGAAAGAAGGGAAATTTAACGTGGCAAAGAGATCATGTTTTTTGAAGTATAAATATTTTTTTCCAGGGCCTCTGTATCATTTGTATTAATTAAACCATTTGTTATATAAATTATATACATTTATTATATAAATAATAAATAAAATTTACTAATAACTTGTGTCTGTATAGAAACTTACAGTTTAAGTGGTATATAAAATATCTCAAATGGTAAAAGCTCAGTCAATAAAAGGAAAGGTAAGTGTCTTGTCTGGAATCCCACAGTTAGTACATAAGGAGGAAATCTGGGACTTGAACCCATGTGTAATGATACCAGATTTAGGGGCATTGATTTTTTACTTCCCTCTACACCTGTTCTTTCTGAACTCTCACAGTGAAATACTCCTGATGGAAAAAGAGAGCAAATTATTACTCTTGGGAAAACAGAAGACCTAGCTTAAAGGGATGATAGCAAATGTAAAATTTTCTGCGCTATCTTAAACATCTGTGTAACTGACACTATAATATATTTATCACAAGATAGTCTCCTTCTCTTGTCTCAGACAGTGCTTATGTTACACGTTCTTATTCTATGAAACGAGCAAGAGTTGGGACTTGGCTAAGTTACTCAAAGTTAAACACTTGTGAATAAACACGTTATTTCAACATACAGTTCCAGGAGAGGCCAAGGCAGGGACAAAGGTGGTAAAAATCACAAGGTAATTTTTTCTTTTACTTAATTATACAACAAACGCATTCCCAGGTTCTCACATAGCCACTCTCTATATAAGGGCCTGATATAGGCTAGTGTGTCCATTGTTTTCTACAGATAGGTGGGGTGCACATCTGTAGCAATTCACAGGAGTTGAAAAGGGATGGTTAACTAACTTCCCTAAAGTGGAATAATCTCAAGCTCTGCACACTACACTTAGGTGTTATCTGAGCCTTGAAATGCTCCAGACACTTTGTTCTCACATATCAATAAGTACCTCTGATTAAACTCTGGTCAAAGAATCTTTAAATCTTTAGGAACTGGGAATCAATCTTATGCCAGTAGACTATTGTCTCTGTTTACAAGTAGTTAAACTACACAAGCTTAGACATCTGCCTAGGGTTACCTTCCCTCTCTTCTGTAAAAGAACATGGGGGAGAGAGGAAGGAAGTGGAATCTAGAATCACAGGTAAAAGCAGTGCTAAATGAAGGGGAGGCTCTCAGAATTCTGTGTGGGGCCATTTGGAAGCTCAGTTCTGCCCTATTGCCTGTTAATTAACTTAACTTTGAACCATTTACATGTCAGCAGGAGTTCACCATTCTTTTTTTCTTTCCATATCAATAAACTGAAAGTTCAGACAAGTTAATTGATAAAGTCCTTCCAGAGCTAAGACCTGTCATTTACCTTCTCTTTTCATTTCAGTTTATGAAGTATTTATTGTGCTTTTTCCCTTGTTCCTTTTTCAAAATAGATTTTTTAATTAAGTACCTATTTATCTTATTTATAGTTACATTAAAGTGGTATATTTTCTAGATTTATTTGAGAAGGTAATACTGAAGTAAAAACTATTTATATACTTCATCTTTTCTACAAAAATGTTATATCTGTCCTTGAAGCCTGGACATGCTAACAAACAGGACCGTATTTCTCTTCTTTATTTAGTGATTTTAATATAGATGTGTTCTTTATATCACCAAGTATGCTATGCATGTGTGTATTTATGCCAATGTGTATACTCATTCATACACGTGTCTCTCAAGACCTTTGGAAAGGGAATGTCATACTTCATTTGGCTCAGAGATTGATTGTATTCCCTTACTGCATAAATCTTCTTTGGCTCAATCCTTCTTTGCCTTTATTTTTCCTAATTTCTTATTTCTAACATATGAGGAGATCACATTGCATGAATATAATTAAGAACACTACCACATTAAATCATTTTGTGTCTGTGTTATTCTACCAGCGAAAACAATGAGTATTTTTCCCAAAAAAATTCAAATGGTAGGTTGGATAAATGAACCTACTCCCTTATTTGTCCAAAACCATGTCAAATATGTTTTTTTGAGTTGTTGTTAGTTTTATAGATGTCTTGGTTTTTTGTTTTATTTGGACCTTTAGTGCAAAGGAATGAATCATATTCCTCAAATCATAGCATGTTGCCTTTGCTCTGGATAAGCCTCTTTTGATTGATTGATTTGAATTAATTTTTCATTAATTATCCTTTCTCCCCATTTTCTACTCCCATTCCATTCCCTGCTGTGTTCTAATATATTTCATGGGTTCTTGTTTGTATGACCTAGTAGAACGTGTGTATAAACTTGAAGTGCATGTATTGTTAGTTGACATCAATGGTAAGGTGATAAGACCTTATTTTGTTTCTTCTTTTATTAAGTATAGATCATGTTCTATGATCCATACACATTGCTCTCTACATCTGGTGCATAATTAGTTTGTTTTTATATGTCTCTGAAATGTATGAGCCATTTCCAGGAGAACTTAGTTCATCTGGAAGTTGACTTGGCATATACATTTTATGAAATTATCCTAGGAAACTTTTTATTCTACTCCCAGGGTTACAAAAAATGAATTGAAGGACTAAATGATCTTTCAGACTAAAATTTCCAGCATTTAATTAAACACAGAAGCTTTTCTAAGTAGGTAGGTACAAGAATAGACTGATCTGGCAGAAGGTAGAATCTTTGTTATAATTGGAAGAAGAATAGAGGTGCATTATTTTTTAAAAATTAGTTTTGTTGAGATGTGATTTACAAACAATAAAGTTCAGTTAAAATTTGATACATTCTGACAAATGTGTACAGTCATATGACCATCATCACAATTATGATAGAGAAGGTTCCCATCAGCTGACGTATTTCCTTATACCCCTTTCAGTTAATCCCCTCTCCCTCCCTACCAGACCTTGACAATCACAGACATACTTTTTGCCAGTATAATTTTGCCTCTTTAAGGGTTTTCTGTGAATGGAATCATATAGACTATATGTAGTTTTCTGTTTCTGACCTTTGATTTAGTATAGTGCTTTTGAGAGTTGTTTTTCATGTTGTTATGTGTATCAGTGATTCCTTATCATGGCTGAGTGGTCTTTTAAGGTATTGATATGGCACGATTTATTATTTATTTATTTATTTATTTTTAAGATTTATTTATTTATACAAGCACTGGGTACAGTCAGAAGCACGGGAGGGTGAGAGAATTCACCAGAGCCAGAACGGGGAACAGAACAGGCAGATTGACGAAATACACTGTTGAGGGGAGCAGCAAGCACGGCAGGAGAGGTCTGTTGCGCCATGTGGGACTCTCGCCGGTGGCCGGGGATTGAACTGGCACTGCAGAGGCTGAGGGCAGCTTTGCAGCCCAGCACTCAACTGCTGCGCCACCAGGGAGGCCCAATTTATCTTTTAAATAGCTGATGCAAATTTAGGTTGTATATAGTTTCGGGTTACTATGAATGTAGCTGCTATGTACATTTAAGTACAAGAATTTATTTGGGCATCTGCTTTTATTTCTCTTAGTAAATGACTAAAATGTTTGCTTTTCAAAAAGGTATTATATATGTATATACACATATATACACACATATATCCATACAATGGAGTATTATTCAGCAATATAAGGGAATGAATTACAAGTACATGCTATGACATGAATGGACCTCCAAAGCTTTAGCCTCAGTGAAAAAAGTGAGACACAGCAACCACATATTATATGATTCCATTATATTAAATAGCCAGAAAGGGCAAAGCTATAACTGCAGAAGATAGATTAGTGATTACCTGGAGTGGGGATAACAAAGGATAGAGTAACAGTAAATATGCATGAGAGATCATATTGGGGTGATTAAAATGTTCTAAAGCTAACTCATGGTGATTGGTAATTTTTCTAAAAAATAATCATTGAATTATATGATATGCCAAAAATACCCTAATAGTTATTTTAAAAAGACATTGTCAATTAAATAAAAAGACAAGCCAGAGACTGGGAGAAAATATATATAAACCTATATTTGAAGAGGATCCTAAACTCAGGATATATAAAGACTCATAACTCAATAATAACAGCAGAATGCACATTCTCTCACATGCTCAAGGAACTTTCTCCAGGATAGACCATATGTTAGGTCATAAAACAAGTTTCAGTGAATATAAAAGGATTGAAATTTTACAAAGTATTTTTCTAGTCACAATGATATTAAATTAGAAGTCAATAAATAAGGAAATTCAGAAATTAGCAAATATGTGGAAATTAAACAACAAACTTCTAAATAAGAGTGGTCAGAGTATGAGTATGAGTATGTAATCAGAACATACTTTGAGATTAATGAAAATACCCAAATTGATGAAATGCTGTGAAAGCAGCGCTTAGAAGGAAATTGATAGCAATAAACAGATTTAGCAAAAAAAGAACTATCTCATATCAATAATCTAACCAACAAACACTTTGAGAAACTAGAAAAGAAGAACAAACTAAACTTAAAACAAGCAGAAGTTAGGAAGTAATAACAATTAGGGTAGAAAAATCAATGAAAGCTTTATACTTAGTAAAATTGCTGGAATTAAAAAGGCTGGAAACACCAAATTTGTCAGGGAGGTGATAGGAATCTGTCACATTGATGGTGGGAATGCAGAATGGTACAGACAGTTTGGAGAATAGTTTTCTAGTTTTTTATAGAGTTAAATGTCTGCTTGCCATGTGACTTATCTACACATTTCTATGTATTTCCCCAAGAGTGATGCCATCTTTTCATATGTTAGCACTTCAAATAGGAACAGAGCAGTTTCTTTAATATCACCAAATAAAAATGTTTAATAACAAAACTTATTTACGTTAATGCCTGAGAGTCTTGAAAATACAACTATAAATGGAATGACATTCTAATTTCTAGATATTGTGTATATTTGGGTTTTCATAAAGTAGATTTTAGAATTGTGCAAGTGTTTTTTTTAGTTATTAATTTTATATAAGGTCTCAAAATTTGCTCTCCTTGATTGACTGTAGGTAGCCTCTGTGCAATATGAAGCAATGACTGACTGATCTCTCATTTAGAATATGAAGTTGTATTTGGGCATTTGGGTTATTTCCAGATTGTGCCTATTATAAATAGTGCTGCAGTAAAGATAAAGGTACAACAAAAAATAAACTCATGCAATTTGCAGCAACATGGATGGAGCTAGAAGGAATTGTGCTCAGTGAAATAAGTCAGAAGGAAAAAGAAAAATATCGGATCGTTTCACTTATAGGAGGAATATAGGGGAACCAAATAAGACATTAGTGTAAAAAAATAATAACAGTACAAAACACAACAAAGCAAAAACAGACAATTATAAACCAGAGACATTGTACAGGGGAGGAGGGAGAGGAATCAGAGGGAGGGAGGGAGGAGCACAGGGGACTGAGGTGATGGTGCACGGGTGCCTTGGGGAAGGAAACTATGGGAACTACACCTGAGGGGATATGGGGGGGTGGTGGAAAAAGCAAACATTGTTTAAAAATGAACAATGTTGTAAAAAATATATAAATAAAAAATAGAATATGAAGTTATAGCTCGAATTTTTTGTTGTCAACATAGACTCAGTCTCAGGTTTTGAACTTACTTTCTTTTCATAATTTTGTAGGCTTATTGCTGCACCTCTAGCAAAAGCATTTGGCATTAAAGAAGGAGGTCGAAAGAAGGTTCCACCAAATACCATCTTAGAAAATTTTATCAAACATTCTACAAGGAAACCATCTCGAGTAAGTACAAATTCTTTGGTTTTGGATTTTAAGATCTCCTTTCTCAGTTTTCTAGTTATCTGTGGCTTACCTCATCTGTGCAGGAAATCTATCTCAGTTGACTGGCAAATATTTTGATTCATTTTTATTTTTTTCTTTGTTCTAATGACAGATTATAGATAACATTCCAAGCATAATATAAAATCACAAATAAATACTAAAATACAAAACAACAAATGTTAACCATTGAACTATGGTACTCAACTCCAGTGTTGAGCACTAACAGCCAATACTGCAATTTGGGTATAAAGATCAATATTTAATTTCTAGTGGTGGGCTATGTGCAAATTGTGCTGATCAAAAAGTATCATTGTTAGAGTAAACCATGCCTGACACTTTCGATCATTAGGACACCATCACCGTACATGACACACACTATATAAATGTCCATTGTGATCACTTTCATGAATATGAAACTTTATTTTATCCAAGGTCTCAACACACTCAGAAACATGCCATACATCCCCACCCTCTGAGAGAGAATTTTCAGGAAAGTCAAACTTCTCTTTACAAAACAAGGTGTGTCATGAGATATTATGGTGTACCGCATGGTTGTATACCAAAGGAAAACTGTCTGGATCCTGATAGTGTCCAGGAAAGTCTAATTTCATTATATTTCCTTAGTTAAACATGACAGAGAAAACAAAAACCTCCCCAAAGTGGCATGCTGTCCCGATGAACCCTGACTCCTGTCCCAATAATCCTTAAGGTATATGCTAATATAGTTTTAGGATTAATCAGTTTTCAAGGTACCAGAGCTTTCTTTGCTGAATTCAGCTGCTGCTTCTGTGACTGTTTCTGTCACTGATCTGTGAGGCCCCTGTTGAGGTGTGACCACGTGGCATGGGGTGTTATGCTTGGAATGGGTCACAGTGAGCCAGTGCTGCCCCCAGCTTGCTCTGCTCTCTGCTTCAGTGTCTGGCTTCTCTTTGATTAGAAGCAGGGCAATCTGAGAAGACCACATCTCCATGTGTTCTTTCCTAAATGAATATAGTTGTCCATCTAAGCACTTGTCTTACTGCTGGTGATAAAAATGCCTAAATAGCATCTTATGTTTTTCTAATGGAAAATCCTTTAGCTGTGTTTGTGAAAAATGAAGACTCTTTTAGAGAGTCCTGATTATCTTTCTTTGATTTTGTTTGAGAATAAATAACTTTGATGATACCTTGTATAAAATGTTAAGAACAGAGCTGGGTTATCAGTTACCTGCTGTCTTTGGGATAAAGAACCTCTAGTCAGCTTTTCAGGATATTTAAAGTGATGTAGTAAATTTGGCCTTTATCAGTGTTTCCTGTGATGGACAGAAAACAGTCATGTGATAATTAAAGAAAAACTAAGAAAAGTCAGAAGAGATTTAGAGATTATATAATCTTTTCTTTTCATGATTGAAATGAAGAAATTAAGGCCCACCAGGAGAAGAGCTCTCCAAGGTCAAACAGCCAATTAGTGACCAAATCCAAAGCTGGAGCCCAATCCTGACTCCCTGTTCAGTGCCATTTCTGTTATGCCCAAGTGGCTTCGTTATCTGTGAATGAAAGTTAAATATGTGTTTAAAAGGTTGGTGCTTTGTTTGCAGTAACTGTTCTAACTCAATTGACATTACAGTATGACTTACTGTAGACACAACTTGTACATTTGCATCAGGTGGAACAAGAAATGTTATACATCAACCCTAAAGTATTAGAGAGCTTCATATACTAACCAAGAGATTGAAGGAAGCAATTAAGATTTTCAGTTTATGTTGTTAGTAGATTGCAAAATTAAGACAGTATTTGTTTAGTATATCAAGCGAAGAGCAAGCTGACCAGTAAAATAGGTTAAAAGTGCTAGAAATGTGGGCCTCCCCTGGTGGCGCAGCGGTTGAGCGCTTGGCTATGAAGTTGCCCGCAGCCTCTGCAGCACCGGTTCAATCCCACATGGCGTGCAGACCTTTCCTGCTGTGCCCGCTGCTCCCCTTAGCAGTGTATTTCAGTACTCTGCCTGTTCTGCTCCCTGCTCTGTCTCTGGTGAATTCTCTCACCCACCCGCACTTCTGACTGTACCCAGTGCTTGTATGAATAAATAAATCTTTAAAAAAACAAGTGCTAGTAATGCAATAGAGTAGATGAAGGAAAAGTACATGACTTAGTGACTTCAGCTGTGGAAAGAAAATAAAGTAACAATACCTTCACATGTTAACTTGACCAACGTCATTTAGATAGGACTTTGCTTAATTTGTGGGTGAGGTAAGACAAGTTTCTGGGGGCACCAAAAAAGATTTTTGTGTTCATCAAAATATGACTAACTCTAGCAGATTATTCTACACCTATAATGGAAGAATATTGCATTGTTAAAACAGGTAGATAACACCTGGCTTAATAAAACAATCAGATACCCGAGCCTGAGAATGCTTCTTTAGCTGCTGTAGATTGCACCCATTAATACAAAGGCATTTCAGTATATGCACCATCAACTTGGACTGCTTAGCACAGAGGCTCTGAAACATAGTATTGGTGAGACCCAAATATTATATACATGAACCTCCAGTGAGAGTTTTGATATATGATTTTGCACAATTGTTTTATGACTGTGTATGTGCAGCTGTATGTCCATTATTAATGTGTGTGCGTGCGTGTGTGTGCATGTGTGTTTGTCATTTCAATAACAACTTCAAGATGTATTGGGAGAGAGCCATGGTAACAAACCAACAGTTCTCTCCAATAGACTAATTACTCTGCTATGGTAAAAAGTAGTAACAGAAGAGCTTATTATCTATCCTTTTCTCTTAGCAAGAGCATGATGATTAATGCCAAATAAATATGTAGTTCTGAAAGAGATCTAAAGAAAACATGGCTGTAAGACTGACCTAAAGGCAGTGATCATGGTCAATAAGGGCATTTCAGGTCGCTAGCTTGTCTCATTCATAGATTCAAACATCTTCAGAGCAAAAATCTGTGGAGATTTGTAGTTCGTTTTACAGATGAGCCCTGCGAGTCTCTCAGTCCCACTCAGTATACCCCCTCTCTGTTGCTGCTACTCTCCTTAGACTCTGCCCATGAGGCTTTCCCTTCACTCTCTATAGCACAGAGACTAAAAATGGAGATTGTGAGGATGGACCCTGTGGACCAAGACTCTGGTTCTGCCAGAGACTGTATGTGGAGGTGGGCAGACTGCCTCAGTTTCCTCCTTTGTGAATTTCACATGATTATGGCATTTATGACACCACCTCTTGTGAGGACTGAATTCAGCACATAGTAGGTGCTCAGGAAGGACTATTTGTGGTCTGTTTCTATCATGTACTGATTTCTTCAGGAACATTTTTAAACATCTCTTCCCAGTTCAGATTTTCCTGAGGGAACATCATTTGATTCTTCATCATGCTTATTTCCTTTCCCATACTGTCTTCCACAATTTTGTGAATTTATATGTTCTTTAAATGCTTATTTCATACATTAATGAAAGAAAACACTTCTAGAGACTTTTGTTTGCAAGAGGATGTCTATCCAATAATATCCTAGTGTATGAAGGCAGTACTGCCAAGACTGACTTTCCATCAGCTTCATCTACTCCAAAACAAAACAAAAAAATGCTTCATATCATGCTCAGTCACTGTCTTCTAGATGCACTTATTAAGCAGATATGTGTAGAAAGATGGTATAATAACATTGTATTGTCCTCAGATCTGGGAAAATTCCAGTAGGCAGAAACTGTTTTGGTCCCTGCTAAATCTCCAAAGCCCAGAATGGTGCCTGGCCCTAGTGAGTGGTCTTTTTAGCTGTTTTCAAATGATTGAATGAATGACACATTTATGCTAGACCCCAGCTCTTTCCCTCTAAAGCCATACAGGATAAAGAGCAGTAGCATTTCAGAATATGTCCCGCTGTAGCATTCAGAACATGTCCCGCTGTGGACCAAGCAATGGGATTTGAGTATGTCCTGTTTGGGAGAATCTGTTCCTACTTGGAACTATTTGAGAAGTAAAAGAATACTTTTTTCTCTATTCATTACCAGTCCATGGCCTCCTTCCTGGGTTCCCCTCATCTGCAGCATGCTTTAGCAGGAGGTATCACAGTCACACTCAGGCCTCCAGACCTTTTCACCACTCCTGGGAGGCAGGAAGCGAACACCCTCATTGTCATCACCCCATTTTCAGAGGGGATCTGGTGAATGTTTAAGGCTGCATAGCTAGGAAGTAGCAGAGCTGGATCTCTTGCTTCCACTTGATTCAGTGGCCCCAATGCCTGCCCACCTCTCTCTTCCTGGAGGGAGTGTGATGAGCCTGGTGCTGCCTGGGCTCTTATCCAAACCTCCAAATGTGTCTGGCCTGCAGTGCCAGACTCTTGCAGTGAGTGCAGAGACCTAGACAAAGTGAACCTGGTCTCACTCTCCTGCCTTCTTCTACCCTGCAAGGGGTGCTATAAAGATGCAAATATCCTGTAACTCTCATGGTAAGTTCCAGACAAGACCATCTTTGAAGTGGCCTTAGCCACCTCTCCTGTCCTCTCCTTTCTGCGCAGTTCTGCACTGCAAGGCTCCTTTCTGTTTGCACCCCTTCTCACCTTCCGGCACCCCTCTTGTGCCAGCCTCATCTGCACAGCCTCATGTGCCAGCTCTCTGCCAAGTCCTTCCTTCTTCATCTTCTCCTTTGTGGGGCATTTTTTAGGCTGCAGCTTAAGTGTAACTTCCAGGACCCTCCAAGGTAGTTAGATGCACAGTACCCAAATACCTCCAATCTTAGCACTCCTGGTGTTTTGTAATTCCCGCCTTATTTTCTGCCCTCCTTCCCAGGCAGTCTGGACCATGTGAAGGGGAGACACTCATCAGTCTTGTTCACTTAGGTGCTTAGGCTAGGTGATGCCTGCCAGAGGGGGCACCACAAGTAGGTGCCAACTCAGTCTCCTAAAAAAGACAAAAAATAACAATACAAAACACCACAAAGCAAAAATGGACAATTATAAATCAGAGACATCCTACAGGGAAGGAAGAGGGAGAGGGATCAGAGGGAGGGAGGGAGGAGCGCAGGGGACTGAAGTGATGGTGCACGGGTCCCTAGGGGAAGGAACTCTATGGGGAATACACCTGAGGGGGTGGGGGGAAGAAAATATTGTTTAAAAATGAACAATGGGGCCTCCCTGGTGGTGCAGCGGTTGAGCGCTGGGCTGTGAAGCTACCCGCAGCCTCTGCAGCACCGGTTCTATCCCCGGCCACCAGCGAGAGTCCCACATGGCACGCGCAGACCTCTCCTGCCACGCCCCCGCTGCTCCCCTCAGCAGTGTACTTCTTCAGTCTGCCTGTTCTGCTCCCTGCTCTGGCTCTGGTGAATTCTCTCACCTTCCTGCACTTCTGACTATACCCAGTGCTTGTATAAATAAATAAATAAATCTTAAAAAAAAGTTTAAAAAATGAAAAATAAAAATGAACAATGATGTAAAAAATTAAAAAAAATAAAAATAAAATATCAATTGGTTTAAAAAAAAAGATAAAACAAAACGCAACAGGTGAACCCTTAAACTATAAAAAGTAGCTCCTGGAAGGGCAGTCTGCAAGGAAATGGTATAATAGGGGCTATATATTTTTTTTTGCCTTGTTTTGCATTCTCTTCAGATTAAGGGATAGGCCTACAGTTTAGAGTCCATAGGAGCTGGCAGGTGTCCTGGCATGAGAGGTACCTTATGAATTTTGTCCCCTGCACAATTGCATGAACTTTGTGTTACAGCATAGCAGATGCCACAGAGCCACAAAGCATTGGGTGACCCACTGGGCACCCCCACAGTCTTCGTCTGGTCCTCACAGTGTTGCTCCATGATGGACTTAAATGGACTTTGATGTGTTGGCCAACAGTGGAAGCCTGATGCCCTCACATCACACTTCTGGGGGCTGCTCCCTGGGTGCAGGCAGAGGATTCCCCCTTGCTGCCCTACGGGGCTCCTACTCATTTCAACACTGACTCTGAAGACCAGCTTCAGGCAATGTGTTTTTCTTACGGTAAATTAAGAGAAAACTGAAATATTTCTTGTACTCATGTTGAAATGTGAAAGATCAAGAGAGCTGATGTGTCAAAAAACAATGACAGGCAGGGCCTCCCTGGTGGCGCAAGGGGTTAAGCACAACCTGTGAAGCTATCCGTAGCCACTGCAGCAGGAGTTCGATCCCTGGCCAGGGAGCTGTCCGCATGGCACAGCAGACTCTCCTGTCTCACCCCCTCCTCCCCTCAGCAGTGGATTTCAGTGGGTCTGCCTGTTCTGTTCTCCGCTCTGTCTCTGGTGAATCCTCTCACCACCACCCCCACACCTCTGGCCTGTACCCCAGTTCTTGTATGCATAGATAAATAAATCTTTAAAAAAAAAAAACAGTGACAGAAGCTGTTTCTCTGTGGAAGTGGAGAGCATGGGGATTTGATGCACACACACATCTGTGGTGAGCGAATAAACTCATACTCTCCCTATGAACCCACCCGTCTACTCAGCCACGTGTGCTTCTTGCCTGGATGCTGGGAGACCTTCAAATTAGGGACCTTCACGTTAATCCAATTTTATATCATCACCTGCAACTTCTGCTCCTCAGAGGAGATGCAATCATCATCAGTACAGTCTGCAATCTGTATTTTTTTAATGGTTAGAATGATTTCTACATCTGATTACAAATGTGAAAGTGATAGCAAACACCTGTTTGAGTTTCTCCTGTATTGTCTTTCGGAGTTGTGAGAGCTACTGGAAAGATTGTGTGGAACAACAGGCCCACCAGCCTGAGTCTTGTCTGACTTGGCTACTGGTTTTAGGCCTTGGACAGGTTACTGAGACGCTCAGGTTTCCAGTTTCCTCAGAGGGAAAATGAGGAGAATGGACTTGAAGGACATCTTAAAACTCCCGGCACCTGGAAGGCACTAAATATTATAAAATCTCTCTGAACGCAGGAGCTCAGTGGTGCAATTTGAATGTGTGGGTTGCTGCCAGCTTATAGGAAAATGATCTTAGTAACTCAAAGTGCTGGGATAGCCTTCTCTGGTGTTTCACTGGATGTGCACGTGCGTGTGTGTGATTCCTAAGCAAAGGAGAGAAATTCCCTGCTTGAAGCCTAAGGCAGATCTCTCTCCTGTGTGTGCAAGTTCCCATGGCCCGGTTGCACTGTGACTGTCTGTGCTGCACTTTATCGCTCACTCATTCATTCATCCCGTCGCCTTTCAGACTGATATTTACGGACTGGCAAAGAAGAGTAACTTGACAGAGCGCCAGGTTGAAAGATGGTTGAGGAGTTGGCGGAACCAAGACAGGCCTTGCAGGATGAAGAAATTCCAGGAAGCTAGGTAAGAAGGCCAGTCAAAGGCTTTGAAATACCACACCTCTGTTGGAGCAGGATGGTCAGCTCAGAAAGAATACTGAGGCTGAGCAGAAGGAGGGCTGGAACCTTCCAGTTGGTTCTGATGAGGACCAAGTGGGTGTCTCTGTCCAGTCCCTCATCTGCCTTCTGGGTACTGTGAGCAATACTTTTTATGAATTATCCTTGGTCAGGGTCACCTAGCTGTTGGTGGGGCTGTGGCACTGAGGTCTTCTCACTCCTTTTCTGATCTTCTTTCTGCTCCATCTTACAGTCCCCCTGCCACCCACTACTTATCTCTTAGTAAGCAGGGAGGCCCTCCATCTGGTAACTGAGGCAACAAGGCCTAATGTTTGGGGCTCTGACTCTTAGTGAGTCTGCTCAGAGTTGGATCCAGAGTTCAGGCCATAGCAGGAAACTTCACATTACCCTGATCAGTCAGTCACATCATTCAGATAGTTACGGTGACTGTCTTCTCCATGCCTGGCACCACGCTGGGTTGTGTGGAGTTCTAGATTTTAACAGGGAAGTACAGTAATGGTCTGGTCACTGGCCTGGAGCAGCCAACCTGGGAGAGGGGCTACAACTTATAATCACAGTCTCTGTTGTTACCCCGCCAAAGGCAGTGAGCGGGCCTTCACACCTGCTGGTTGTGTGGACTGTGCTGTGGGCGGCCAGGGACATGATACTGCTAGGGCTGGATCTCTGAGATTAAGACTTTTTAGAGGCCCTTGGACAAAAGCTGGGCCTTGAAGAAGTGGTCTTTCTCCAAGAAAAGAAGGCAGGACTTGAGGGAGTGTGTTTCAAGGAAGACAAAGGCTTGAAGATGGAAATTATAAGTGTATTCAGGAAACAGGAGGGGCCCACAAATTAAATGCAAGCTTTCTCTTATTCCTTAGCAATGTCACATTTCCTTGAAGTCAGATAACTGTTAGACGTTATTATGGACACAAGACACAGATTAAATCAAAATGCCGAGTTATTTAATTATGTAGGGGCTGTACTTACTCCATCAGCTATGGGATGCACTATAGGAATCAAAGCAAGAGATGGCAAGCTCTGGGCATTTTGGAAATCTCAGGAAACTCTTTCCCCAGTGCCAAGATGCTGCCGTCGCCCTGTGGCAGTCAGAAACTCCCTCCATAATAGGGTGGATAGCTGCCAAATGCCCTAAATCCAGTGTATTGTTTCCTTGGTTACTTTCTCAAAGATGACCCCTAAGCCCTGTTCCATAGCATTCAGGATTTCAATCTATAATTACATATTAGTAAAATAAGCATTTCTACCTAATGGTAAAAATTTACTGTAAAAACACCCAGTACTTTCCAAGGACCTGATGTATACAGACAGGAGCTCGCCGAGTGCTGGAGGACGGGGTTCTCCTTCCAGCTTGGGAGGAGGGACCACGCCTGGCCCCCACAGCTGGCCCCTGCCTGCTCCATTTCCCCCCATCCCCTCTCTATTCCGCCTCTCCCAGCAGAGCCCAGACCTGGCCTGTCAATGTCTCTCACCACCTGTCAGTTTACTCTGCCCGACTCCCCCAACTCCATCCTGCAGTCTCACCTTCTTTCACTATTACCATCTGCACCTGGCCAACCAAGTTCTGGATTTTCCCCCTTGTAATTATGTTTGTCTTCCTTTCCTGGAAGAAAAGGAAGTTGTACTCCTGCCATTCCACTTCAAGCAAAGGCCAGTGCGTCACCATCTCTCTTGTTAGGGAAGCACAGCAGGTTTCAGGGCTCCTTGGTTCCCTAAAAGACTATGAATGACTCCCCAAATCATTTTCTTCTGCATTTCATACTATTTACATTCAAAATATTGCATTAAGAAATAGAAACTGAGACATTTATAGAACATGACTACACAGCATTTAGCGCGGTGAAGTTGCCCCATGTCCTGTCACGTCTGGATTCTCCCCCTGTGAGCAAATGAAAAGACAAAAGTGAATAACACTTTATTGTTATTATGAGACTACTGTGTGTTCAGGGGTCCCCGCCACTCACTCTGAGAACCCCTGGTATGGTGTCATGAAGCCCATTGGGCTGGTCTGCGAAGCCAGAGCTGGTCTGCTGCTCCTCAGCCTTGGTGCAGTCACGTGACCTCCCTCAGCCTGTCCTGCTGTGGCCATCCTATCTGCTTTCATTTAAGGTTGTGAGAACCAAACAACAACCCACAAAGAGGGGCTAATTATAGTGTCTCCGTCACCAACTTGTGAAGATAAAACTCGACACTGTGTCTGTGGGGCGCAGTGCCTGGCACAGAGTCAAGAGGCCGACGCATGTCTGAGAAGCAGGGCTTCTGAGCTGTACCCCGAGTCGATGGCTTCCTTTGGGGACGACGGGGCTTGCCATCTCCTACTCTTCATGCAGTGTGTTTGATCCAAAAGACCCAGGGAGCCGAGGAAGTGCTCTCTGTATCTAAGCATGGGCCTTCGTGGGCCGCCGTACGTGAGGCCAGTGCAGACAGGCCCGGCTTTCTCAGTTTGCAACATACCCTTTGGGTATTTTTGTGGTCCAACTTTGAGTAATTGAACTCTTTATTTCTCTATCAAAACAAGCCACAAGGAAAGACTGTCATCTGACTTAGAAGCAGTGACTGTGTTTAGGAGACTCTGCAAGAGGATTTCAGAGTCCAAAGGTCTGCACTTCGGCCTCAGCTCCACGACACCTTCGGCCTGCGAGCTGGGCTGACGGCCATGGCTTTGGGATCTGAATTTGCATCTATAAAATAGGACCCCTGGAGTTCCTTCCCTCCCTTCCTCCCTCCCTCCCTGCCTCCCTCCTTAGCTCTCTTCTTCCTTAGAAACGCATGTGAAGCATAATGCACGCATGGAGAGAGATAGTATGTTTAATATGACTGGGTTTCAGAAATCATTAGATAAAACAGCAATACATTTTTTAAAGATTTATTTATTTAAAAAAAAAGAGATTTATTTTTTTATACAAGAGCCGGGGTACAGGCCAGATGTGTGGGAGGGTGAGAGGATTCACCAGAGACAGAGTGGGGAGCAGAACAGGCAGACTGACTGAAATACACTGCTGAGGGGAACAGAGGGTGGGTCAGGAGAGGTCTGCTGTGCCACGTGGGTAGCTCCCTGGCCTGGGATGGAACTCATGCTGCAGTGCCTGTGGCTAGTTTTATAGGTTGTGTCTTAACCTCTTGCACCACCAGGGAGGCCCCTCAATTCCTTTTAGCTGTATTTTTTTTTTTTTGAGGTAATGCTGTTTTACAGCACCATAGTAGATTCAGAAGTAGAGGTTCACACTTCTTCAGATGTATGTTACCACCACATGCCCACCACCAGAGTACCCATAATCCTCTTCAGCAGTGCATGGGGCCACTCCACACTTTGTTCCCCATCTTCACTCCTTTTTATATTTTAAGGTAAGTTTCGTTAATCCCATTTTACAGGTGAAGCTAGAGTTCCCCAAGGTTGTGACTTAGCTAAAAAGGTGTAGGCATCTCACAAATGCGAGAGCCAGGATGTGAATTTGGACTCATCTGACTCCAGAATGTGCATTCTTCCCAATGCTATCATACCAAATGTTTTTGTCCTTAGATGTCAAGCACCTTTTCAAGAGTCTTCTTTCTTTTGGCAGCTGGCGGTTCGCATTTTACTTAATGATGACTATTGCTGGAATTGCATTTCTTTATGATGTAAGTCGTCTTTTTGTTATCTTTGGAATTTGTCTTTAGATTTTAAGGTTCTTGCATGTGGATTCTTTAGGATACAATTCTTTCAATAAAGGAAACCGACTTTTAAACCATCAGACCCTCGAAAGCCTAAAGAAATAGCAACTCCTCAGTCTGTCCTTCAGTGCTTTCATTCAAAGCTTTGCATTTGCAAAGTCAGTTCTTAAATCTAATTTCTCCCTGTTTCTACTCATGCAACCCACGTGCCACCTAAACTGGTCTATAGACCATCTGCTGAACATACCTGGTACATGTCCACTTTTGGATTTTTGTACATTTTATCTCCTCTGCCAGAAATGTCTTGCCCTTCTTACCTCTATCTTTGTCAAATTCCATCCTGTCCCACATCAAATGTCACTGGTTCCATGAGACATTCATTATTTGCCTGTTAGAAATCAAATCGTCTCCTATGATAGTCCCTTTGCATTGTCTGTGTAAATAATTATGAAATGATGACCTCATTAGGTGACAGATTCAAGAATAAATTGTTCACAGAAAAACAAAAGATAACCAAGTTTTAGAGATTTCTCATGGGACATTTTATTGTTACAGATATCTCAAGATATTTTATTACTCTAAAAGCGGTAATCTAATTCTTAGAAATGATTTCACTAGAAGATTCACTTGCTTGAAGTCATTTGCTGTAACAGCATTATTTCTGACCCCAGATTCCGTAGAAGTCATGGCTGTCACAGATGTGTTGCATAAGGGCAGTATCAAGGCTCTGAGAGGGAGAGATGTGTGGCAAGAGAAATAGGAGTATGATAAAAAGGGTTCATCTTTGCATCTTTGCCCCCATCAATGACATCAGGGAGAGCTTATATCTTCTGATGACACAAAACTTATTTTGTTCTCTTTTGGTTCCATGTTTTTGGTTTTTTTTTCCAGAAACCTTGGGTGTATGACCTATGGGAGGTTTGGAATGGCTACCCCAGGCAGGTAAGTCCCCTCTGATGTATTTCTTCACTTATAGCATCACTCAGGCCCCTCAAATTGTCCCTTGAGTTATGTTTGTGCTCCCCTCCTATTCTCTGTCCTCTTCTATGTAATACCTGGCTTAGTTCTTATACCATATCTGGCCACTTGTTTCATTCCTTGCATTTGTTTACAGTTACCATAATTACACATTTGAGTTTAAATCTACAGTAGTAAATATTTGAATTAAGAGAATCTAATAGGAAGTGCTCTTCCTTCTTTCCAATCACTAAAAGCTCATCAGAACACTCCATATATCCTCCTCCTAGGTCCTCCTTCAAATATTTAAAACCACACAATTAATTACTATTGTTGTTTTGTAAATTAGTCAAATCAGTCTCTCCATGCTGTTTCTTGCCTCCTGCATTTCCATGCTTCCATCTAAAATTATCATCCTTCTGCCTAACAGTTCTTCAGTTTGCTTTTTCTGAAAGTTTATCATTTTTTTTTTTTTTAAAGATTTATTTATTTATTTATACAAGCATTGGGTACAGTCAGAAGCGCGGGAGGGTGAGAGAATTCACCAGAGCCAGAGCGGGGAGCAGAGCAGGCAGAAGGACCGAAGTACACTGCTGAGGGGAGCAGCGGGTGGCAGGAGAGGTCTGCGCGCCATGTGGGACCCTCCTCTGGTGGCCGGGGAGCAGCTGGGAATCGAACCGGCGCTGCAGAGGCTGCGGGCAGCTTCGCAACCCAGCGCTCAACCGCTGCGCCACCGGGGAGGCCCGAAAGTTTATCATTTTGCATTCAACCCTTTAAAGGATATTTAAGTTGGATGTGTTTATCTTTTTTGATTGCTGAGTAATATTCCATGGTGTATATGGACCACATCTTCTTGATCCAGTCATCTATTTTTGGGCATTTGGGTTGTTTCCATAGCTTAGCTATCACAAATAGTGCTGCTATAAACATAGGGATGCAGGTGCCCATTGGAATTAATGTTTCTGTGTCCTTGGGGTAAATACCTAGGAGTGAAATTGCTGGATCATATGGAAACTCTATCTTTAGTAGGTTGAGGAATCTCCACACAGCTTTCCATAGTGGTTGGATATGGATGGAGCTGGAAGGGATCATGCTCAGCGAAATAAGCCAGAAAGAAAAAGAAAAATATTGAATGATCTCACTCATAGCAGGAATCTAGAAAACCTAAATAAGGGACCAGAAGAAAGAATAACTATAAGAAAGAAAAAATCAAAATCAGCAAACAACTATGAACCAGAGACACACTATGGGGAGTGTGGGGAAAGGGGGGAATGGGGTCAAAATAAGGGGCTTGCAATTGTATGGGGAATATAAAAATAAAATTTAAAAAAAAACTCCCCCCCAAAAAAGGATATTTATGTTGGGTATAGTATTCTAGCTTAACTCTTATTTTCCTTCAGTGCTTTAAAGATATTCCATTGACTTTTGAATTCCACCAGTTTCTTTTTGAATTCAGTTGTCAAGGGTTTTGTTTTTGTTTTTGTTTTTTTTGCCTCTTTGAACAGAGTATCTTTTATCCCAGACCTATTTTAATAGTTTGTCTTTGTCCTTCAGTAGTTTATTATGATATACATAAATGTGGTTTTCTGTGAATTTATCCTACTCAGTGGCCATAGTGCTTCTTGACTCTGTAGGCTGATGTCTTCAGTCAGTTTTGGAAAATTCCTAGCCATTGCTTTTGTTCCTTACTCTCTTTCTGGAATTCCAATTGTAAGTGTGCTGATGTACGTTTATACTAGGTCCCACGTGTCTCTCAAGCTGTTCCCATTGTTTCTCTCCCTTTATCTCTCTGTGTTTCAGTATGTGGGTGTACAATTCTTCACCAGCCCCTTGCATTTCTATATGTTGTGTGAAGTGAAACATTGAGCACCATTTGACCTATTCTATCTTTATAACAATCTTTGTTTAGCAAACAAAGTTGGAAGATCCTTCTGGGCCAATTGGTAGACACCTTACTGTCCATTATAAAAGATGCCAGTACCCTAGCTTGGAGTTCCTCTCTTACAAAAGAACCCATTGCACAGATGTCACCTGACCCTCTTTGCTTGGCCCTGTGATAATTGGGATGCGCCCAAATATTGATACTTTGGCAATTGCTATTACTCTGAGTAATAAACTACCTTTTATTTCTGACCAAGGAGTCTCATATCTTTTTTTTCCCAAAGATTTATTTATTCATTTACACAAGAACCAGGGTACAGGCCAAATGCGCAGGAGGGTGAGAGGATTCACCAGAGATAGAGCAGGGAACAGAACAGGCAGACTGACGAAATACACTGCTGAGGGGAGCAGCGGGCGTGACAGGAGAGGTCTGCCACACCATGTGGGACCCTCACCAGCTGGCCAGGATTGAACCGGCACTACAGAGGCTGTAGACAGCTTCACAGTGTGGCTTTCAACCGCCTGCGCCACCAGGGGAGGCCCAGTCTCATATCTGTTATCCACATCCATGAAACTGAGGCAGACAATTTGCAAATAGGACGAAATCTCAGATCCTTCACAGTCCTGAGTAATTTCTACTTTCATGTCCTCCATTTCACTAATGCTGTTTTAGCAGAGTCTGATTTGCTGTTAAGCACATCTTTTGAGTTCTCAATTTTAGTTATTGTATTTTTCTGCTGTCAAATTTGCCTTTAGCTCTTTTTTGGATCCACTTCTCCATTGAAATATTCCACCTTTTAACACGTTTTCAAAATTATTTTAACACCCAACTTTGATAAATTAATATGGTGATCATTCTTCTCTTTTTCCTGTCTCCTTATGCTTGATAACTTTGACTAAATAACAGTCAATGTACATGGAAAGTTATAAAACTCAACATGATATTGTCTTCTTCCTGAGTTTTTCCTTTTACTTCTATTAGTTACTGATAGTGGCAACATATCTACTGTAAATTTTGCATGATTGAGCTGATTCAGTGTGGACCCCAGTTTTTTTGAGGGAAGACATATTCACAACTTCCTCATATTCCTGGGGTGTTTTCTACATTTGGTTCTAAATAAAAAATCACAGTATTCACCAAAACTCCTTTTCCTTTGTTGTCCCTAACCAGTTTGCTTCCTACCACTCACTCTGATACTGTCAACGGCCTTCTTAACTTATCTTGCTGTTTTTTAGTCTCTGGAGTCTATACTGCTTGTAAGTCAAAAAATGTAAATTTTATGCTATACATAGGTGTGGCTTTCTTTGAATTTATCCTTCTTAGGATCTGTTGTACTTCTTGAACTAAGGATTCACTTAAAGTTAAAGGTTCACTTAAATGCATTAAATATACAGGTTCTTGGTGTCTTGGTTGAATGCTGATGCCTTCAAACAGATATTCTTCCTGTGTTTTATTCAGAATTTTTTTTTTTGTTCTCACTAGGAGGTTTAGTCTCATATAGGTTTGTTTGTCATAAAAGAAGGCATAAACTCTGTCTCATTCTTTATAGCTTTATTGAGGAGGATGAGTTGACAAAACAGTTGTTTCTTTTAATGTGTTAATCTCAGTATTAAAGAATCAAAGAAAGTTAGACCATAAGGTACTTAGGCATTGTCTAGTCCATTGTCATCTTCCACCTCTAACTCACTCTTAACTTCTCGGGTATAACAGTTATCTATTGATACATAGCAAACTCTCCTCCCAAGACTTAGTGCTTTAAAGCAATCATTTATTTACTCATGAATTAAGTTAGCATTTTTGAATGGATTTCCCCAGCTGCATAATTCTTCTGCTTCATGTGGTGTTAGCTGAGTTCATGCATTTTCAGCCATTTCACCTTGCTTCTCTTCTTTGTGACCTCCAGCAGGATAACTCAGGTTTCTTACATGGTTTATAAAGTCTCTGTTTGCATCATACTGGCTATGTCCCCTTGACAAAAGCCCTAGGTCAAATCCATGTTCGATGTGGGAGGAAACTGCAACAGGGCATAACTATCAGAAGGCCAGATTCAGAGAGGCATTAATGTAACAATCCATCACACCCAGTAATATAATCCTTCAACTTAGCTAAAATAAGCAACCACCCGCCTATAAAAATATTAAGAAAAGTTCTAGCTATAAATATTTCATCTTTTTTTCCCCATGGTAGTATTAGATTCCTTAAATAATTAATTGTTTTATTACATATTATTACTATTCTATTTGAGAATGGGTAATCCTGATCACCACTCTGTCACCAGAAAAGAGGTTAAGACATCAGATTTTGATTAGTATTCAGAAAATATTAATCAGGATAAATTATGGAACTGGCAGAATGGACTTGCCACTGATCTTGAGTAAATGTTTTTAATTTGTTTTTCTAATTTAACTCTCAGCCAACTAAAATAAGTCAGTTACACCTGTTATAGTTTTAACTTTTAAACAAAACATTTCATTTGATTTTGGAATTCTCATTTACCTTTATAGAAATAAAATGCCTCAAGATGTATCTCGGATTCCTTATTGGAAGTCAAAGTATAAATCATCACTATTTGGGGGGGAATTTTGTTAAATGGAATCGGCATAAATAATAATTCTAATGCCTTAAAGTGAGTGGATTGTAAGGTGATATTAAAAAAGTGGTGCTCTTGTTTTCACCAGCCCCTGCTGCCCTCCCAGTACTGGTACTACATTTTGGAGATGAGTTTTTATTGGTCTCTCTTATTTAGCCTTGGCTCAGATGTCAAGAGGAAGGTAAGTGTCTTATTCACAAAGCTTCCTTATCCATTTCTTCAAAAACTTTGATCACCCTGCCCCAAATTCTAATCTTTAAATTTTGTTTTTTGTGCATGTTTAATTCCAGTTCATAGCTTTTTTGGCTTTTTTTTTTTTTTTTTTTTTTAGCACATAGAATAGTGCAAATTAAGCTCATGCTTCACTGCCTTGGTAAATATTTGGAGTAAAACACCATAGAACCTTTAACTTTGAAGCGTTACTCTGTTTCGGTAAGAAAAGAAATCTCCTGTATGCTGTCTGTTTCTTTTGGCTTGGTAATTTAATGCTCAGTGCAAAGAAGAAAAGCGCTAATAGTGTTCATTCTACAGCCACATCTTTTAGTTGATTACAAATCACTTTCTCTAATTTTTCTTGTGTATTCAAAAACTTTAAAAACATTTTTTTCCTTAATTTGCCCAAAATTTTTTTGAGGATATTTTGCTTCAGGCTTATTAGCTTTGCTTTATTCATGGGGAAAACTGGTTCATAGGCATGCCCAATACATCATCTGAGGCTACAAAGTGAGGCATTTTAGGGACTTTTTAATTTTTTTATGCTACTCTATTGTCATTCTCCACAGTTTGTTTTTTTTAATTAATTTATTAATACAAGTACAGGCGAGAGGCACAGGAGTCGTTATCAGTTCCTGCTTGCTGGTATAAAAAACTGTGTGAGACTCAGTGCAATCAGGGTATGCCATCATGTACATTAGCAATACAAGTCAAATGATAAATACTCTTGACATGTAAGTCATAGGCTCTATTTGTAAAAGGTTGGTTTGTAGCATTGTGTAATGAAATTAAGTTGCATTCAGTATTAAGGAGATAAAATCAAGATGATCAGACTAGATGATGTTTGTATGAGTGACGGTGCCCATTATCCCTCACTCGGGAGACCAGGCAACCACAGGCAACTAGAGGCTTGAGGAGAAAACGGTGACTCTGAGCATAAGAACATACCGTGACAGAATCTGATGGACATGTTCTCCTTTGCCATAGAGCGCAATAATAGCTTTCAGTGAACTGTTACTAACTTTAGTTTAGACTAAGAGCATATCAAAATACAATTGAGTCATTTTTTAAAAGATTTATTTTTTATTTATTTATGCATACAAGAGCTGGGGTGTAGGCCAGAGGTGTGGGAGGTGAGAGGTTTAACCAGAGTCAGAGTGGGAAGCAGAACAGGCAGATCTACTGAAATAAACTTAATGAGGGAGACAGCTGGCAGACAGGAGAGGTCTGCCGTGCCATGTGGGTCAGCTCCCTAGTGGAGATTGAACTAGTCCTACAGTGGCTGCCGATAGCTTTATAGTGCTGAGACAACCCCTTGTGCCACCAGGGAGGGCCCAATTGAGTCATTTTTATCAAGGGATAGAATTGAAAATAATCATTTTTAGGAAGTCTTCAGAGATAGGTAGTTGATCCTACAGTGACCCCACATTTCTCCCACTTCTGATTTTTCTGTAGTTGATTTCTCTTCATTATTTACAGGTGATTTGAGCACCTTTTCAAAAATTGAATATAGACATACCTTATTTGTTTGTAAGCACATATGTCCAGAAACAAAGAAAAGAAAAAGAGAAACATTGGGAGGCTCTGGAGCTATTTTTCTGGGTTAGAATTCCGACTTCAAGGCCTCCCCAGTGGCGCAGCAGTTGAGTGCTGGGCTGCAAAGCTGCCTGCAGCCTCTGCAGTGCTGGTTTGATCCCTGGCCACCTGGCGAGGGTTCCACATGGCGCGCAGACCTCTCCTGCCGCGCCCACTGCTCCCCTCAGCAGTGTACTTCGTCAGCCTGCCTGTTCTACTCCCTTCTCTGGCACTGGTGAGTTCTCTCACTCTCCTGTGCTTCTGACTGTACCCAGTGCTAGTATAAATAAATAAATGAATCTTTAAAAAAAAAAAAAGAATTCCTACTTCACTGCCCACTGACACCTCAAGTCAGTTGGTTCAACTCCCTAAATTTATTTCCACCTCTATAAAATGGAACTAAAAGTGGAGCTGTCTCTTATGGATGTTGTGAGGATTAAGCAAGTTAATCCATATGAAGCGCCTCTTGGTACATAGGAACTGATTCAATAAATTAGGAAACTGAAATTTTGAAGTTTTTTTGAACAATTTTTTTAACAATAAAGTTTTTGTTAATTTTATTGAGAAGTTAACTTTAATCACATGACATGCAGTTATCCAAATCTAGCTATGTGCCTAATTCAGCAGTTATTTTTCCTCCTTTTAATATTGGATCACCTTGGAAAAGAAATCATTTATTCAGGGTGTGGGTGCCTAAAATAAAATGTAACATTTATAGAGAACTTAGTAACTTTTGACAGTAAGAATATAGTAGCTGCTTTAGATAATAACAGAAAAGACTATATTGGAAGAAAGTTTAGATGCTCTAAGCTTATAGGTAAATATCTCTTAAAGAGTAATCATGTGTGATTTTACAATTTTAAAATATTTAGCCTAAAACTAGAAGCTTTAAGCTGACATTACATAGTTCCATAGTTCTGAGTATTTTCAGAGTTCTGCAGTCGGCATCACAGACCACTTTGTAATATTGTCATCACGTCAAAAGAAATCCAGTACCTTTAGGCAGTCACTCCCCAACTCTCAGAACCTCCCCCATCTTAGGCAACCCCAAAGCTCTTCTCTGTCTCTATGGATTTGCCTCTTGGGGGCCTCCTGTATAAATGGAGCTACACACTATGTTGTTTTTGTGTCTGGCTTCTTCCACATAGTATAAGTTTTCAAGGTTCAGTCGTGTTGTAGCCTGTGTCAGTACTCAGTAATGCAGCGTGCATCATCCGTTTTATTATGAGTGCTTGTTCACTGTTTGGATACGCTGCATTCTGTTTATCCACTTACCAGTTGATGGGTAGTTAGGTTGTTTCTACCTTTTTGATTTTGATGAACAGAGCTACTGTCAACATTCATACGTAGATTTTTCCATGGACATATTTTTATTTCTTTCAGATATATACCTTGTGTAAAAATGGAATTATTGGTTTCTATGGTAGTACTATATTTAAAGTTTTCAGAAACATCCATATGTTTAACAAAGCAGTCATGACATTCTGCATTCCTACCAGCAATGTAACAGACATCTGATTTCTCCACATCCTTGTCAACACTTGTTACTAGCCACCTTTTTTATTATTGCTTTCCTAATGGACATGGAGTAGTATCTCCTTGTGGTTTTGATTTGTGTTTTCCTGATGGTTAATCAGGTTGAATCTTATTTTTGTGTGCTTACTGGCCATTTATGTATCTTCTGTGAAGAAAACCTTTAAAATTTTATGCTTAATTGTGGTAGCTCTCTATCACTTAGATTTACTAACATAGTTACTCCACTTCCATTTGCAGCTTATTTTGTATGCAGTCACTCTTATTTTAATGGTTGTGTAATTGTCTTTTTTTTTCCATTTTGGAATTGAACAGGGAATAAGTAATAAATGTAATTATGCATAAGAATATGCACTTGTGTGTATGTGTGTGTGTGCGCGCGCATATACATATATCCAGTGTAGAACAGTGGAAGAATACCTGGTGTTAAGGGTTAGATGAAAACTATTTGATGCTGTTTCAAAGTTAAATGATTTCATCAATGGGGGCAAACTTGTCCAATCTCCCTCACAAGGATTGTATTTAAAAACTAAGGTGAAAGCATTTTATAAATTTCAAATAATGCAGATGTAAGTTATTGGTTTTTCAAATATTATTATTAGCTCTTCCAGTGATTGGGACATAGTTGTATTTGTTTAATGGTTTCCATTTCCCCCTCATTATGTAGGATTTTCTAGCTAATGTCATCCACCACCTGGCTGCTATTAGTCTGATGAGCTTTTCTTGGTGCGCTAATTATATTCGCAGTGGGACCCTGGTGATGCTCGTGCATGATGTCGCTGACATTTGGCTGGAGGTAACTCATTTGTCTTTAAGAAACTCATAATAATGCTACATCGTGGATTTCTGTAATCATCACAGGAAGAATTGTCTGGGTAATTTAGCCAGGCTGCCTGTCCTGCAGACACCCACAGTCCCAGGGTGTCTCTGCATTCCCTGATCCTTCTAACTTAAAGAAGTGAAACTTTCAGTGTTTAATTTCCCTTTCCCCACATTCTGCAGGATACTTAAGAGAGGTTAATTAGTGGGATTCCACTTGCAGGAGTTGCATGCAGACACTAGCTTGGGGAGTAAGGTGAGATGCTTGATAAGGAATGAGCTCTACTGTGAAAAGGAAAACTGCGATTTCTTTCTTTATGAATTCTTCCCATTGGATGATACCACATAGTCACTTAAGCCTAAGCAGAACAACCACTTGCTCTGCCTACACCGATCCCCCTCCAGCTTTGAGGAAGGAGGGTTGATGTTTAAATAAGTTATTTTCTAAGAAAGAAATGTTTCTGGAGCAGAGAACAAGAAAACAAGAGTCTTCCTTATCCCATATTACACACAAAAAAGAAATAGGAACAAAACAAAATTAGGCTTGTTTTTTCTACACATGTTTGTTCTGTGTTGGCTCCCGCCCACCCTGAGGCGGTGCTCCCTGCTCCTCTTGCTGCCTGTGTGCCTCCTGTGCTCACAAGCATGTTTCCCAGAGCCACTTAGCTCATCAAAATATACTCGCTTATAACAAAGTCAGGGAACGTGGTGCTAACCCATTTCACGCGCAGGGTTGCCCCTTGAAGGGCTAATGGAATATATAAGCTGATATGAAAGAAATGTAATTTAATTTAATGGGTTCAGCAAACTCTTGGATACAGAGCCACCCTTGATCTCTGTTACATGTTCTTTGTTTTTTGTTTTCCTTTTCTTATACTCCTTTAAAAATGTGAAAACCAGTCTAAGCTCAAGAGCTAATCAACCTTAGCCCATAGACCGGACTGTAATTTGCCAAACTCTATTCTAGATGTAACCAGAAGTCATTTGACACCATCTCAAAGCAACTGGCAACTGTTAAAATATTATTAGCTGTGTATAAAATTCTGTTTCTTGCATGTAATCATAATTAGCACACAAATCCCATGCTAAGGGGCCAGATTATAACATGTGCCCAGGCAGCGAATGTTTCAGCAGGAGGCTGTGCCTGTCTCCCACACTTCGCTCTCCCCGGATGCAGCCATCGCTGTTGTATTGTTACCTCCTTCCCTGGCCAGGTAATCCTGCCTGAAAACAAAGACCACACTGGCTGTGATCTTGGAATTTTATGCTGCTCAGTTGCTTCTGAACTTTCTAGTTCAGCTGTCTTTGTGTGCCTCCATGGAGCACACAGACAGCTTCATTGTGTTATTGACAGAGTCAGATTTGGGACTGGGAATAAGCGCTTTGTTGCCTGGTCCCACCCACCCCATCATTAAGACAACAGAATCCCCCCAGGTGACTTGGGCCATCACTTCATGCTTTGTTTTCTATCCTCAAATGCAACGTGAGAAGGCACATCTACCCCTTAGGGTATATTGTGAAGTTTAGCTCTTTAGGTTCTGAAATGTTCTGAGGCCCTTAGGTGAAAAACAGAAGAAAAATGAAATGTCAGATTCAGAGGGCCCTTCACGGGTAAACGGTGAGAACAGACTCATGTGGTTAATGACCATGAATCATTCTTGATTCACACGTCATGATCTAAGGCGAGGTTCCCTGAGCAGGGCTGGAGTTTCTATCAGCTGGTGGCAGAGACCACAGTAAGTAGTGGCCTGGGGCCTGTTTTTGATATTCTCCAAGGGATGCCTATGCCACAGCATCCTCCAGTGTTCGGTTCAGTGTTTGTCTTCTCAGTCAAGTTCTAATTGAACGCAGACGTGGCACAGCTTTTGCCTGTTTAGACCTCTCTGAAAATGGAGTCTATTAATCTTTCCTATTCCTCAAGGCAGTTAGCAGGTCATTTCTTAGCTCTTTCTTTACAAGGAAAAACAGCCTCAACATCTATAATTCTTACTCATAAGCAACATGTTGCCTTCATGCATCTTCCAGATCCTCGCTAATTTTCTCCACATTCAAGTTTAGATCCAGGATCCAACACTTGAATAGTCTGACCAATTTCTAGCAAAGGAGAAGGTTTTCTGTCTGATCTTTGCATGATCCAGATTGCACGGTGTGTTTATTTGCCCAAATAAACAGAGTACTGCCCTGCGCCCCCACAAGTGTGTGCTCCCTGTGGAGCACTCTAGCGCCCACTCTAGTGTGGGCAACTCTAGCGCCCACCCTCAGACAGTGCCCCACACCAGCCCAGGTTTGCTGAGCTGCTGGCCTTTCTCCCACACCCACTTCCTAACCTCCTGCCGTGCTAGCCTTCCCTCCAGCAAATGATCTGATTCCCTTTTGGGCCCTCGGCCAGCCCCACAGTCCAAACATATCTTCACCCTTCAGCAAATATAGAAACTATGGAACATGCTATGTACACCCTTCCTGTAGTGTAAATATGTTGCCTCGCGTTGCAGAAGAACCCCCAGCTTCCAGAGTTTCAGTTCTGAAATTGCCCAGGTCTCAGCCACACCCCCCTGGAGGGGAGAGTGCGCTCAGCAGATCCTTCCCATCTCCCAGCCCCACTCCAGACACTTGCTCCTTTGGCCTTGGGCTCCGCTGAGAAAGCAAGAGAGAATTCTCATCAATTACCCTTCTCATAGCACATTCAGACTTCCTGTAATTATTTTTGTTCAACACAGATAATATGAGACGTCTAGACTGGCATAAAATAAGTAGGAAAAACAACTTGAAACTATTTCCACGAGGACAAGGGCCCCAGAGTTGCTGCTTCTGCCACCTGCTTCAAAGTGGCCACCCTGACGGCCACGTGCCCAGCCCAGACTTTCTCAGTCCAGATCTCTTCCCAGTTAGAAGGAGACATTAAATAAATCCCAGATAAAATGCTTGTAAAAAAAAAAAAACTATGCTAAGCTATAGTGCTTATAAAAGGCAATTGTAAGATTATAATCATTTAAACATAGCTTTTAGAAAAATATTATTGAAAATTTTTAATATAAAAGACAAAGAGAATAGTATAATGGACCCATCATCCTGTTTAATAGTTATCAATATGACCAGTCTTATTTCATCTACTTCCCCAGCCGTCCCTATACAACACATCATTTCATTTATAAATATTCAGTTTTTAAAATTTATACTAATGTTACTTTATGAGTTACTGTTTCTTTCTTTGTTTTCAGTCTGCTAAGATGTTTTCTTATGCGGGATGGCAGCAAACCTGTAACACCCTGTTTTTCATCTTCTCTGTCATATTTTTCATCAGCCGCTTCATCATCTTTCCCTTCTGGTAAGTAGAGGGTGCTCTTCTTGCCTGGAGTCACCACACTGAGATGAGGTAGCCTTGTTAAAATTATAACACTACCTTCTCTCTCATTGATTTCTAGTTATTTATGCTAAGTTCAGCAGGAGAAAAGAATGTCAAGGTTCTACTTTATAAATAGTTCCAGCAGGGAAAAGCCTTATTACAATGGGAGGTGGAAATGGGTAGCCCAGTGGGTAAGAAACAACTCTTACTCCAAGTCGTCTCGTGAACATGGATCTTCATGATTGGTAACATTTACGCTTAGTCAAAAGAAATGGCATTGGCCAATTATTAGCTCTTTAAAAGAGAGACATAGTCTGTGTTATGACTGTAATAATCTTATCCATCATTAATTGAAGTCCAGACACTGGATGTAGCCCTTTCTGTACCTTGCCTGTGGTCTGCACCACAAATCATAAAGATAGGTGTTGTCACCCCTGCGCACAGATGAGGAAACTGATACCGGCTTCATGATCACTGGTCAGCATGATGGTTTTGGTATTGATGGGCTCTTGATCAGGTCGTTGATTTTGGTTAGCCCAGAGCTGACAATGTGTCTCCTTTAACAATCATTCCTTTGGCAAACATAGTTTTCCATGTGCTGATTGACAGAAACCAGAGTAAACAGATGAGGATGCCTTGATCCTTCCTTGATGGAAGGAACAGCTTATAACCAGTGATAGTTTGAGACTAGTTTAAGAGCTTCAGACCCTCTAAAAAAAAAAAAAGTCATGCAATCGAAGATCAGAGGTTCCTGGAGGAAAGGATGGAGGCTCAGCTTCCAGGTCTGATTCCCTGTAGATGGACAGCACTCTTGGCTGTCCCCTGCCCCGGGGAAGTCTGGTCAGTGAGGTCAAAGATCCTGTCCTCCCAATGGAAGACTGCTGTGTTCTTGGAAACAGGACTAGGTGTCTTTTTTTTTTTTAAGATTTATTTATTTATACAAGAACCAGGGTACAGGCCAGATGCGCAGGAGGTTGAGAGGATTCACCAGAGACAGAGTGGGGCTCAGAACAGGCAGACTGACGAAATACACTGCTGAGGGGAGCAGTGGGAGAGACAAGAGAGGTCTGCCGTGCCATGTTGGAATTCTCGCCGGCCAGCTGGGATTAAACCAGCGCTGCAGAGGCCGCGGACAGCTTCACAGCGCTGCGCTCAACCGCCTGAGCCACCAGGGGAGGCCCCAGGACTGGGTGTTTTGACTAGACATTTTCTGGAGAGGAGCAGCGGGTAGCACAGTGGTTATTCATGGGTGCAAATCAGGCCTGGGTTTAAATCTTGGCTCCACACTTATAACCTGTGTGACCTTGAATTGGTTAGATCATTTCCCTGTGCCTCTATTTTCTCATATGTAAAATGAAAAAGGGTTGCTGTGAAGTTTCACTGAAGTAATTCATATAGAATAGCTTTGAATGGTGTTCAGAACATACAAAGGACTCAGGGAATGCCAGCTGCTGTTAGTGAAATTATTAACGAGTATCCAGGGATTTGGAGTTTAATCTAGAATCAAATCTGAGACACGTTTTGAGGACACTATCCTTGGTTGATGAATCACATACCGTTGCTTTAGCTTTGACTGCGCAAGCATATTTGTGAAATCATAATTTTATACAAAAAATAGCAGTTACTGACGGGATAAGTCTGATCTGCAGGTAACAGTTGAGTTGTGGCTTTTCAGACTTCCATGATGCTGTATATCTAACATTTGTTGATTGATTCCTCTTACTATGTTCAAAAACTGGTTCCAGTTTTCTGATGCCACCTAATAGCCATGTGAAAACTCAATGACTAAGGACTGTGGTGAGCAAGATTTTTCTGTACAGGACCATGGAATAACTATTTTAGACTTCAAGGGCTACATGTGGTCTCTGTTGCAAATCAGTCTTTGCTGCTTTCAAAGCCCTTTAAAGATGTATCAAACCCAGCTTAGCTCACAGACTGTAGAATAGCAGTTTGCAGGTCAGATGTTATGTCCAGGCCTTAGTCTGCAATCCTCTCCATTTACTTAATTTTTTTTAAATTTATTTTTATACAAGAACTGGGATAGAGGCCAGAGACATGGGAGGGTGAGAGGATTCACCAGAGACAGAGCGGGGAGCAGAACAGGCAGACTGGCGAAATACACTGCTGAAGGGAGCAGCGGGCAAGGCAGGAGAGGTCTGCTGCATCATGTGGGAATCTCCCTGGCCGGCCAGGAATTGAACCCACACTGCAAGGCTGCAGACTGCTTCACAGCGCGGCGCTCAACCCGCTGTGCCACCGGGGAGGCCCCATTTACTTAATTTTTTATTGAAATAGCATTAGTTTATGAAACTGTGTAGGCTCCAGTATTACATTTTTCTCACCACATCTGCTGCCAAATGTCCCACAGGTTTCTTCTACTCATATCACCCACCTCCCTCCTATCTCGTAGCTACCCTTCTATTGTCAGTCTAAAGGTTTGATTTCATTTTTGTTTTCTTTATATTTTACAAATGAGTGAAATTGTATGGTAGCTGCCTTATCTTTTCTGACTTATTGCACTTAGTATAGTCTCTTCAAGGTCTATCTACATTGCAAATGGCAGGATTTCATCGTTTTTATGGTTTGATAGTATTCCATTGGTATGTGTTCCACATCATCTTTATCCATTCCTCTGTCATTGGGCATTTGGATTATTTCCATACACTGGCTATTGTGAATAATGCTGCAGTGAACATACAGGTGTGTATATCTTCTTATTCTTTCATATTCTTTAGGTAAACATCCAGGAGTGAGATGACTGAATCATATGGTGGTTCTGTTTATAATTGTTTGAGGAACTTCCATGCTGTTTTCCATAATGGCTACACCATTTCCATTCTCACCAACAGTGCATGAGAGTTCCTTTTTCTCCACATCCTTGCCAGCATTTATTATTTCTTGACCTTTGGTAATAGCCTTTCTAACTAGTGTGAGGTGAGATCTCATTGTGATTTTGATTTTTACTTTCCTAAATGATGAGAAAAGTAGAGAATCATTTCATGTGTCTGTTGGCCATCTGTATGTCTTCTTTGGTGAAAAGTCTGTGCCCTCTGCCAAATTTTTAATTGTGTTGTATGTTTTATTGTTGTTAAGTTGTGTGGGTTATCTATCTATTTTGGATATTAACATTTTCAGACTGCTCCCTTTAAACAACGTTTATTGACCATTATTATTTCTTATGGTTCTGGGAGTTGACAGTCCTCATCTAGATGGTTTTTCTTAGGATTTCTTACATGGTTAGTCAGATGGTGGCCAGGCAGTCTGATGGTGCCCAAAGTTGGAATTTTCTTGAAGGTCTCCTTACTCACAAGTTTAAGATAATATATTTAAAGTCAGCCAGTTGATGCTGATTGTCTGTTGGGACCTTAGTGGGCCTGTCAAGTGCAACACCTACATGTGGCTTCTTGGTTGGGCTGACCCCTCTCAGAATGGTGGCTGGACTTCAGTTGTGAGCAGCTCAAGAGAGCTGGACAGATGCTGTATGAACTCCTGTAGCTTCAGAAGCCACATCATGTCACTGCCAACCTCATTTTCCTCATTGGAAGCAGATAACTAAGTCCAGATCCTAGTCAAGGGAGGGAAATTAGACCCCATTTCTTAGGGGGGTGATTTCAAAGAATTTGAGAACATATTTTAGAACATTATGGAAACTTCCAGGCTGGGGAACTCTCAGAGAAGCTTCTAAATATGTCTACTGTGATTGGGTTTTGATTTTAGCAAGGAAGGATATTCATCTCAGACTTTTCCATGATGTCTCAAAATCAACAAGCAAGCTTATTCTTGCCCAATAAACAACTGAACATCATGTTAGGGTTGAGTGAGTGTGGAGGTGGTGTGTAACTTTCCCACGCATCCTCGACTTTAAAAATCCTAGACTTAAGAACTCATTCTCTTGCCAGCATTTCTTGATTTCAGGGAAATTAGTTACATGCCTTTGGGGTTTTCTTGATCTTGCTACTCCACTGAATTTGCTGGCCACTGCAGAGGGCAGTCAATACCATTGTTTGCTGTCTTCAGCGAGTTGGACTGCGAATAGCCCGGTATTAACAGACTTCACTGTAAGCAATTTTTTTCTGTTACAAACTTTCTATGCCGATGTTGACTGCTCCAAGCAGTCAAAAGTTTGGAGGATGGGTTTTCAATGGTTTTGAAGAATCAGTTGCAGTGAATTGTTCCAGCATAGGTGGCCCTGCTATAGCTTGTGTGTGTTGTACAAGCCACATGGTGGTGCCAACGAGAAGTCAGTTCCTTGTTGGTAGCCTGACTCCGTCTGTCTGAAATGTGCGACTCTGCAGATTCATTTTTCAATGACATTTAATGAGTCCATGTTAGTTGGGAATTTACTGTGGACCAAGCAATATGCAGATAATAGACCTGTTTCAAGATTCAGACGTTTTAGCAGTGCTGGTGGGGGGACTGTTCGCAATTTAGTTGTTCTGTTCTTCCCAAAGGCTTATGTTGCACATTTTGTGCTAAGATAAAGGGTTGAAAGAGTGTGGAGAAAGCTGAGAGGGGAGGTGAAGTGTCCACCTGAAATTTATCTGGAACCCTTGAGAGAAAGAACTGAGCTTGTGCATTACACTTGCCTTTCCTGTCCTTCATCCACACACACCCCCAGCCTCAAAAGTGTCAGCTTTTCCCTGACCATTTCCTTTATGTTGGTGCTACTGTGTCCCTCCGCCCCTTCTTCCCTGTTCTTTTTAGGGATCTTATTTAGGATTCTCAGTGTGAGCAAGACTTAACTGCACTGAAGTCCTGGACTTTGTTACTGCAACAAGAGGCAGAATTCCATTTTGCACTGGTCAGATGTTTTCACCTGCTGGCCCGGTTACCTGCATGTGTTTGCATTTTTATTCAGAAGCATTTACATCTCAGGCTTATGTTTTTCGCATTGTATTCCCAACTCTCGTTTTAAAACGATGACTTCTATATCTGTGAATTATTGGATGCATCTATCTACTTGAATATTCTACAAATAACAC